TGTTAACTAGGAATCATGCTGAGATGTTTAAATATGAATTGTATACAATTTCATAAGATTTCTAGATTGTCTTGTTTCATGTCTTTTGGATTAGTACAACTCCAATTATGAGTTAAACTAGCAGTTGTTATCTACCGCCTTGAATCTGTGAATGCAATGAATGACTTGTTTGCTTTATATGAGTTGATGTGATGATTTAGATGCTTAGGCTAATTAAGATAAATTTTTAGTTGCAGGTGCTATACCTCTTACTGAAGATGAACAACTTTATCTTAGGTTGTTAGAGCTTGGTGAGTATGTAGTTCTTGTTTTCTAAAAGAGATATGCACCTACTCAGTAAAATATATGTTAATCTTGTATCATCGTGTTGTTCATGCGTCCATCTTTACATGGCTGTACATTTCCTCATCACTTTCCATCTCTTGTGCATGCATGACTCTTATGCTATGCATATGCATGCAATAGGTGTTCCGGAGGGAGTCACGCTTCTGGAATTCGAGCAAGGACTTCTGGAGGAGCAGCAGCAAGCTCAGGAGACGGAGGTACAGGACCCAGAAGGAGGAGCCAGCGAAGAAGAAGTTCTTGAGTGTCCTGATCACCAACCATCCTCTTTTCTGAAAGGCAAGCTCCGAAGCATTCTAAGTCTCCTATGTTTTGAAAATGATTACTTTGAGTATCTTTATATGTTTGATGCATTAAGTGATAGGAATTGGATGCAAACACTTGTTGCATATATATCTATTCCTTGTCCAGTAAATGTACCCTGAATCCTATTTAGGTCTAGGAGCGAATCAAAGCTTCCCATGCTTAGTCCGGTAAAGCCAGGTGATTTCCTGTCACCTGCAATCTAGGATGATGTCTAGTCACGGTTGGTTATATTTGCTATCGTGGAAAATAACCATATGTTAATAATGAATGCAGACCGGGCGCGATGTCGATAGAGAAGCAACAAGGCAAGGAGGTCTTGGGTGTGGATCTATCCCCATCTGTGTCGGTTAAGGACCGATTCACTGTATGTCCTCATGTCATGTTGAACGCATGCCTATCACTTAGTTGGTCGGATAACTCATTCTGACCACGAAGCTGAGTAGCTCAACTCAGACCAGAGGGTAGGGAAGTGAAAGTGCGCACTTTGGCGGTAGTAAGGATGTGCGGGGAGCCATTGGCGTAAGTCCAAAGGTGAGATTGACCACCTGGCAGAGTGGATTCCCTAAGAGTACGGTGCTGCTCGGAACCGCGAATTTATTCCTGAGTTGTACCAAATGTGACCCGAGGCAACCACTAATCAGGTTGATTGGGTTTGTGTTAGGAATAATTCCCCAGCTGGGTAGGAATCGATTCGAATCGCCGTCTCTCTCGGATAGTGAGAACTTGACTGAGCAGCGGTAACGTAGATACACTAAATTGAACTTGATGGTTATAATGATGATGATGATATTACAACATTAGACCGGATATGGTTACTAATGATTGGAGTTAATCAATTGCTTGCTCTAGTACAGGTGCTAATCTAGATGACAGGTTAATATTGATAACTTGCTGCTTAATTAATAATTTAAGTTATGCTCTTGTATCATTAAAGTTTTTTATACAAAATGGTTGTCAAGCAAGATCCACCGATAAAGCCTTGCATACTCCTTGGTGTCATTTATTTTTGGTTTACAACAAGTAAGTCTAGCTGAGTATATTCTCGTACTCAGGGTTTATTCCCTCTTGTTGCAGATGACGTGCTTTTATAACGGCTACTGCAAGTATTGTCTCCACCCTGCTAGGGATGAAGACTTGATCATGGGCATGATCTTCTATGTTATCTTATCATGTTGTTTTTGTTTGATATGACTATGGAACTGGCTTGTATTTGAACCAAGTATGTGTGATGGTCTCAAACTACTTCGCTTCCATTATTTGTGAACTCGTGTTGTAATAACTATGTTAACTCGGATGTATGAGATACTTGTGAACTACTTGTGAAATGTATGTAACATGTGGCTTGTTATGTTGAATCACTACGATCTTGGTTGTATGCAAGTTGGTTTGAAATCCTTCGTGGTTTCAGTTGACTACCGGGTTTATATGGGTTCAAGTGTGATAGTTTGATCACTCCGGTGATTGCTTTCGTACTTATGCTCTTATAAATTAGTCCATTCTGTTACACAAACCACCCACGGATTGACACCAAGATGTGATGCCAAGGTCTCGTAGTGCCGCTGCGAAGCCAACGGAAGAGAAAAGAGGCTTTGAGGTGTTTTTTTTCTCGAATACGCAAAAGATTTGCGTATCATTGTATTAAGGAGAAGAGTTTAAAGAAACATACAATGCGTTTCTATCGAGCGTCGAAGGAGGTCGACCTAACACAGCCGAAGCTGGACCATCCTAGCAAAAGACCTCATGTTTCGATATTACATAAAAGGAAACAACCAATATCGACGTAGCTTTGTGGCTTAGGTGGCCTTGTGTCTTCACGGCTGCCTGGACGGTGCCTTTCCAATAGCCGGGAAGAGCTCGTCCAACGCCTCGGCTTCGGACACAGTCAGGTTGCCATCGAAGAGCCTGTCAAAGGCCTCTAGCTCCAAAGCGGATGGCGCAGACGGACCCCTGGTGTAGCCCATACGCTGCATGATCAGCACCTCACCTCGCTTGGAAGCTGGCACTCGGGAGATGCTCTGAGCCGTCAACCACCACCTTCGCCACAGCAGTACCAACTTAGCAGGAGGCTGTTTGGGAGGCTCACGAATCAGCGAAGAGTCCCTCTTACGCATGACATTGTTGATGAAGCTATTGAGGCATCGTTTAGCGGAGTCATTGTTATCCACAGCCTGGTGGGTAACCTCTGGTGGTGAACTGGAAGGGCCATCCACCGTGAGGTCGACCGCGTGTGTCTTCGGTGAGTCCAGTGTCCACTGAATGGGGCGTGGGGGTGGTGTCCACAGCACACAGGAGGCTATCGCATCCTCTAGCTAGGGGGCCGCCACCACTAGTGCCTCATCCGAAGCTAGGGGTCACTGAAGTTGACCGGAGGTGCTCAAGGGAAGGCCACGCGATGATCTAACTGCCGACGAGCGAGGCTGCGAACTCCTCAACCATCGGGTCCTCCGAGATGTCGCGATCCTGCGTGGCGCCCGGGTACAACATGAGCGTCAACGGGTCGGGTTCAACCATGCCCGTCGCATTGGTTAGCCCACCGTGCCTTGCCTCAGTTCCAGCAGTGACCGAGGTGAAGTCCGATGCCATTTGGGCAGCCCCTGTCGATCGCCCGTGACTGTCGGTGGCAACACTAGTTGCCGCAGCGGTGTCGTCCCCCTTCAGTCGGCGTTGATGTCTCTGACGCCTCCGCTGTCTGCGTCCATCGCTGCCACGCGTGGTCGCACCTGGCAAAGCAGCTGCTGCACCTGGCTTTGAGGTGCTCTGAGCAGGGAGATCGAGAGCTCGGGCCGTGCTCGTTAATGGTAGTGGCGGCGGGGCGTGTGGGCACTGGGGTGAGGGAGGAGGCACGGGGATGGGCGGAGAGGATGCAGCGTGGGGATGCGGTGCTCGTGGCGGCTTTTAAAATGCGAGGAGGCAAGAGGAGGAGCTGGGTTGCGGAGCTTGGCAACATGCCGTCAATGGTGGCTGTGACCTTAGCGTGCATGAGAGGGACGGATCGAGTATGGACGCGGCTCGGTCCGCGCGCTTTGCTTTGTCGCACGGCGGGGCTAGGTCGAGCGCGGGCTCGGTCTGTGCGGCGGCTTGTTCACAAGGGCGCCCGATGATGGCGGAGACAGGAGACGACTGGAGGTAGGGGAAGGCCCTGACGGGGCGGGCCCACTTGGCAGCGAGCGCAAGAGAGGGGAGGATAGGGCTGACGGACGGGGGCCGCCTGTCGGTGAGAGAGGGAGGGAATTGAGAGGGAGGCGCGGGTGGCTGGCTTGGGCCCTTGGCCCAGCCGGGATAGGGAAGGGAGAGGGAGAGGGAACGGGCTGGCGACTTTGGGCCCGTGAGAGAGAGAGGGAGCTGCGGGGGAAAGCTGGGCTCGGCCCGAGAGGAAAGGAGAGCGGCTCAGCCCAAGCTGAAGGAGGGAGGGCGTGGGAGGAGCTGTATTGGGCCAGATTTGGCCTGGTTAGGAGGAGGCGCCGGGCCTAAATGAAAAGGGAAAAAGAAATAGGAATTGGGTGGGGGTTTGAGCCAGTTTTGGCCCACAACAGGTTTTGAAACTTTTGACATTTTTCAAACTTGTCTTCCAATCATATTTTCAAATATAATTTAGATATTTAATTTAAACTTGTTTTTCAAACAAACCATTTTATACTAAGTTTTTTTTATAAATAGAATAAAAACTTATTCGAGGCTTAAACGGCTTTTGTAAATTCATTTTTCACATCATAAAATTAAATGCAAGAGCATGAATGCAACATCCCATCAAATTAAATGGTTATAAGCATTATTTGAAAATCACAATTTGCACAATTTGATTTGCTAAAAGCCTATTTAAATCTTGAAAATTTTAGAAAATTCACAAAATTATTTATTTTATTTAGTGTTTTATACTCACAATCCAAAATGGAAATTTTGGGGGTGTGACACATATCCCTTAGGTTTTGATCTGCACTAACAAAAATGAGCAACAGCTACTACAGCAACCGTTAAGATGAGTACATATCTTGCTCTGTAATCCCGATTTGCCTGCAAATCGTACAGTCACGACTCTCAACTAAGGATAAACAGCACACGCAGAAAAACAACCCAAAACAGCAAGACTGCAAGAGACAATACATGATCCTAGAAAATACCATGAACACGCAATCTGGGGATCACAAGTGTATTATACAATCACACCTCACCGGCTCACCCTAGAAGGGTGGCAGAGAACCCCCAAACCAAGATCTTGCTTATTGCGTAACTGTGTTACAAAGGCCAAGTTTACTCATGACAATGATCATTCTCTGTTTTACCGGAACAATCGCTTACATTGAACGTCGGGTACAAAACGGATGCAACTTCAAATGGCACAACCACACTGCGATTTACGCGGCCATGATGCAATCAATGGCTTCTTTGCAGATCCCAGTCATGGTCGCCTCTGGTCCATAAACCTGCAATGCATTTGTTGAGCACAATAAGGGCATCTCTTATGGGGAATGGAGCTGGTCCCAATGATTCCCATTCAGGAAATGGTAGGTGTGGCGTTTAAGGAAATAAAGAGATCATACCTCAATTGGAACGCCAAGTTCCGCACCTAGGGTGCGCATTTTAGTGAGTCCAGTTTGGTAGTTTGGACCACCTCTCCGGACATAAATGTTCATTCTTGCAGCTTTCAATTTGGATTCCTGGAACCAGATTCAGAAACAAAATAACAAACAAGATTGGTGAAGATTTTAAATGGAGACAGGTGGGAGTGGTTGGGGAATTGAACGGCTATCTAACTTCGTGGTCCAATTTACCTTCTCTCTTAGAGCCCGAATGATGCCATTAAATGTTGCCGCAACATCGGTGAAGTTAGCAATACCTCCTCCGATAAGAAGGGCCCTCTTACGGCCATCAGGATCAGTGGTAGCACACTGCACAAGTTCAAAACATATTCATGAAAGATAGATGTAATGAACAGAATAGATAGACAACTGAAAGGTTCTACTGTTCTTACATCCAGAACCACTCTAGCATACTGCAGAACCTCCTCCTCTTTGGGAGCCCCACTGTACTCTGCATAATTTCCTAGCTCCGAAGCATATCCCAAATCTCCAACCTGGTATCCAAGAGGAACTATGAAACTATTGCACCATGCACCTCACAGATGGCACATTTTGTCATTACATATTAGCTCCTATGATCCTATCCCAAGTTAACATGAAAAGGTATCAAAAGGTGCAAAGAAACTTGAAGGAGGGTTTGCATGAAATTCAGGCTTACAGTATCCGCATATATGACACTAGCACCACCACCTGCAACCATTGTCCAAATGCGTCCTTTTGGGTTCAGTACTGTGAATTTCAGAGAAGCACTTGTCTGCAAGAAGAGAAATGGTTCATACAGAACTGTCAAAATAAACTAATCCAAATAGAAATGTGAACACTGGACAGTGGAGTACTGGTTCACAGATAGCATACTTCAGGGGGGGAGGATGGAATCGAATATAAGTTGTCCACTTTTACATGAACATACCTTCTCATCCAGCTCATGGATAAAGCTTTCTGCGGGACTGAGAACTCTTCCAAAAGGTAGAGGGAACTCAATGTTACCCCACCTGTACATGAAAAACGGTGGTCATTATGATTAGCAATACAGTAGAAAAACCTATATTTTTCACATAAATATGGCTGGTATGACTAATATGAAAGAAGCAACTGGGATCTGTGAGGTACATCAAAAGCCTGAATCATACTTATTAAAGTTCTTGAAAGCAGCTGTGTCATCTAGTTCTCCTCTCATATCCAGAGGATACGGTTCACCATTTACCAAGGTAAATGGGTTCATCTCAAGAAATGAGAAATCCAAGTCTGCAAAAGAACCAAAGAGCATCACACGTTGAGTGTTGAAACTGGAAAAGCAACAACTACAAACTGTCTGCCTTTGAAAAGCAAGGGTGAGGTACCTTGGAAAACAGAAAATACACCTCTAATGAAATCACCTATTTTTGTGCGGACCTGAAATTCAAGCACGGATCATCAATGAGAATCAACTGAGAATTGATGGTTAATCAAGAAATTGAGAATTACCAGCAGCAACGAGTTCCAAGCCTTACTGGGAACAAAACAAATGGTATAATAAATAAACAAGTAACAGTGCAATAGCTGACCTCCAATGGCAGGGTGGCGATCAATGGAGCACATGCGTCAGGTGTCATTTGCTTCTCTGTGGGAAGAAAGATAGTCTTAACCTTGTCCCAGTTCTCCTCGATCTCAATACCTCCACACTCTGAGAAACTAATGGTGCTGCCAAGCCTTTCTGATACAATCGAAAGGTAATACTCTTGGTCATGCGGTACAAATGGCTCAACTATGAAGGTTGTAATTGGAGCTTTGCAGCCACCCATCTCGACCTAGATACATGAGCAAATTCAGTCATACAGATTATAAATAGCTTTAACGATCAGGTTTGTGCTGGTAAAAGCATATGGCAAGATGACCTTCAAAAAAAAGCATGGCAAGATGCTAGTCATGACAGTACCTCAACTCCCAACCGCTCCTTGACAAATTGGCGAACTTGGGCAAGATCTAGGTTGAGGGCCACAAGTCCACTCTTCCCACGTTTCCCAAAGAGCATGTCAGGTTTCACAACCAACTTCATAGATGAGAGCCATGGCTCCTGGTTTGCAAGCTCAGTGAAATCCGTTGACTGTGTGACCTGTGATTAAGCATTCTGAAAATTCAATCAACTGGTCTTGAGGAATATGTAAAAAACAGGGATGCTATAGTGAATGAAAGAAGATAACTAATATAGAACATCAGAACCTCCCTCGAGAGTAATCAAACTCGATCTGTGTAACTGTATTTCTACAACCAATAAACCCAGCTAATGCAAAACACTAAGCAAGTGCACCTTCAAAGAGAACCCAAGTAAAATGAACCGGTTGTTTCCTATCTGGTGAATGGCAACTAAAAACGAAGACAATCTGTTGGTGTTACCTAGATGATCTACTGGTTTTTGACACAGACCCAGTTTATCAGAGTAAAATTCCCCTAAACCAAACTATATAACTGCTACTTGAAATTTCTGGTTTCTATGGAGGTTGAGATTTCAATGACCACAGCCATAGACCTTGCAAATCCATTTTAGTAAACCAATTATCATCAATCGAGCATTTCTCATATATAAAAGGAAGAGGTGCTGAACATTCCAACACAGCACTAGCCAGTTGACCTACTAATAACAAAACAAACAGGAACAGCCCAACGAAACGCCTCTACCGCAAACGCCAAGGTTCGAAGCCTGTCCCCGGAATTCCACCAGAGCGAGCTAACTCCGGCAGACCGGCACCCGATCCTGTTCCTACGGTGACCGCGCGCCCCCAGGCCGACTCCCTCGCGCTAGAGTTGGGGCAGGATCCGCGGCCGGCGGCGCCGAGATCCGAACACGCCGAGCGCGCCCGATCCCCGCCCCACAGACGACGAGGCGATCCGACAAGCACGCGACGCGACGCACCGCACCGCAGCAGCTAGCGCGGAGAGCGAGGAGCAGGGGGTGGGGAGTGAGCGACCGACCTGCGCGGAGAGGATCTTGAGGTCGATGCCGGCGAGGCGCTTGAGGTGCTCCCGGAGGAGGCGCTTGGAGTCGTACTCCCGGATCTTCTTCCGCGCCATCGCCGCCGGCCGAGAACCGAACCGAGCCGAACCTTCTGGAAGCTAAGGGGAGGAGTAGGTGCGTGCGTGCGTAGCTGCAGCGAGCGAGCGGGCGGGCGACGACCGGTGTTCGGGATTCGGGCCGCGGCGCGGGCAGGACGGACGGTGTTATATAGCGAGGCCGCGACGGGAGAGGGAAAGCGGCGGGCAGCCGCGACCGCGACGCGCCGCCGTGGTTGGTGGTTTATTTCGGTCACTGGTTGGGTGGGACCCCCGGTCGGTTTGGTTTGGGCCTCGTTTAGATAGGGTTAGGAATCCGTATATGGTACTGTAGATTTTTTTGTTTGTATTTGACAATTATTGTCCAATCACGACCTAACTAGGCTTAAAAGATTCGTCTCGTAATTTACAGTCAAACTATATAATTAATTATTTTTTTTATCTACATTTAATACTCTATATATATATTAAAAATTTGATGCGACAAAGAGAATGAAAAACTTACAATCTAAACTGGACTTGGTTTGGTTGGAGGCGGATGGGATCTGGTTGGGTTGGTGGTTGGTGCGGCGGGTGGTGTGACTGTGACATGACATGCTCTCTGGTACTCGTTTCATCCTAAATTATAATTATAAGACGTTTGACTTTTTTAATTTTAAATTTGATTACTTGTCTTATTCAAAAAATTTGTGTAAATATAGTCAAATTTAAATGATCCTTGAAGAAATTTTATTAATAAATCAAACCACGACGAAAGAAGTGATATTTTACATAATTTTTTGAATAAGACGAATGATCAACTTGATGTCAAAAAAGTCAAACGTCTTATAATTTAGGATGAATTGAGTACTACTGTATACAACCCACACAGGACCGCATCGCATCCAGATCTCACTAGGGTCTCGTTTAGTTCCGCCAAATTAGCGCCGGTAGGAACACAGTGCCGTTTTGTTTTTTTTTGTCAAAAATTGTTCAATTGTTGACTAATTAGGCTCAAAACGTTCGTCTCGCAAAGTACAACCAAACTGTGTAATTAGTTTTTAATTTCGTCAACATTTAGTACTCCATGCATGTACCGTATATTTAATGTGACAGAGAATCTTCTTTTTGTATAATACCAAATTCTGGAAATTTGGAGAACTAAACACGCCCTAGTAGACGGATGCAGAAATCGGTGTGTCAATTTTTTCAAATCACAGACGACGAAGAATGCTGCTCCCTCGTGCTTGCTTGTCAACAAAGAGGACAACGTGCAAATGTGTCCGGTAGCAGATATGGTCAAGCATTATCTTTTCTTTTTTTCCTTTTTACTAACTGTTGGCGCTGGCCGCTGGGTCTCACGGATGCTACTGGCAATGCTGTAGCGAAAAGCAACGTTGAAGCCATCGCTCCTACACGATGACAATGAAATGGTGTTTGAGAACTCTCTGCGATGTGGCCGCTCTAAGACCATCTCCATAGATGACTTATACAGAGACTCTAACCTAAAATAAATCGTGGATGATACTGTATCAGCATCCAACAGAATACTTATATGCGAGACCTATTTTGGGTTACAGCAAAGGCACAATTTAAATATGAGCATCATCTCTTCTGGAGACTCATTTACAGAAAGTGTTCTCTTTTGGGTCCTATTGTTGTAGAAGACCAAAAATAGGTATCAAACCCTTTGTCTGTAGCGCTACCCAAATATGAAATGGGTATTATATTTTGGGTGATGTTGTTGGAGATAGTCTAACAACCTATCGATTACTCGGCTAGTCTCCTTACACCTGCACAAGTATTCCGCCCTAACTGTTGTGCCTCTTAGGGAAAAAAATTGGGTGAGGACCATCCCCTACCAGGGCATTATGCAGACTGTTTGGCTGATATGTGGGCCACCGTATCATCTTAACCGTACGCATGGTAAATCAGATGCTCTGTGGTCCACATGTCGCCTGCACATCTGCAACGTGTTTTAGTGAGGACTATTCCTACCAAATTTTTTTCCGCCTCTCACCTCCTCCAGCGTGCCTGCCCTAGCGCCGAGGCACCCACCTGCACACCCTGCTGCCTCAGTCTCGCATGCGCCAGCAGCACCCTCTCTCTCTACAACATGCAGCTGCAAGAGTGGCAGCAATTTTTCCTCTGCATGCACGGTTTCCGCGCGATGGAGCTGTTCGACTGATGGTTTTTGCGGCTGATAAGCCGACTGAAGTTAATTTGTTGTGAGAGAAAAATAATATTCCATGACTGATAAGTTCAAGCGAACATGGCTAAAATTAATGCGCTCCACAAATGAAGAAATAGAACGGTGCCTGTCCCACATGCAACTGTTGCGCCTGCACACCCGCCCCCGCATGCTGTAGCGTCTGCACGCCGTGCACGAACGCATGCAACTACGCACCACATGCCTATTGATGCGTATGCAGGTGGAGACCGCCCCACGCCCGCTTCGCTTGCCGCGCACGTGGGGACCGCCTCTGCATGTCTGCTTCCTACGCTTGCTAATGTTGCAACATGAAACACTTCTGCAACATATGTCTGAAACAGGTGAAACATTTATAAATATACGTTTGCAACATATATGTATAACAACTGCAACATCTAGATAAAACACACTTGCAACATACGTCTAACAGATGAAACATTACGCTTGCAACATATGTGTATAGCTACTGAAACACATAAAACATCCAGATAAAACACTTACAACATACGTTTAAAATAGATAAAATATTTGAAACATTCACTTGCAACATACATGTATGGCCATTGCAACATATGCAACATCTAGATAAAACACTTGCAACATAACATACGTTTGAAACATCTAAAACATTTGAAACATACACTTACAACATATGTGTATAGCCATTGCAACATATATAACACCGGATCTGCTTTTGCAACATCCAGATGAAACATATGCAACATACATCTAAACATATGAAACATACGATTGCAACATGTGCTCATCTACTTGTTGCTGCCCAATTATGACAGAACCGCCTGAAATAACACACTTACGAAGGCGCTTGTCTTCCACTAGACACTAAGCACCTCGAGAGAGAGCTACATCGGGCGGATTCCGTCGAGCACACCCCAAGGGAGAGCCCGAATGATCCACATTTTTTCCTCAGGATCCAATAATGAGAACGAGTTTATATTACTTAGTCTATTTCATATATCCAGAGTTCTTTGAAATACATTATTACAGGACAAAATTCAGAGTGTGGAAATTAAACAACGAAATGAAAAGAAACATCTATCGATAATATACAAGGATCTGTCTGTGCCCACCAGAAGAATCCTTCACACAACGACTATGCCTCAAGCTGCACCTGCAACAGGGGTAAATAAACCATAAGTACACAATGTACTTGTAAGACTTATCAGACTAGTGAAAATAATTTTCTGACTCCAAGGGATATGATAGGCTTTGTGGTATGATGGGTTTCCTTTTTTATAGAAAGCAACACTAATAGTGAATCCTTATGTATGTTTATTATTAGCAGACATGATTAGTTCATTGCCTAACCATTATATGCAAGCACCTGTTCTACTTTCAAGCAAGAGTTGAGCAAGCAGTTCTATTTCACCACCTTTTCTCTTTTAGTTCTTACTACGGTGCTAGACTGTAGACAAGCCATACCGAATCGTCGGCGATTCGTAAATCAATGTGCCTAGCTGGGTACCCCGAAACACACGCCCCGCTTGTACCCTAGGCACAAGCAGGACCAACCCACCACTCTCCAATCACGGGGTCCAGGTCTCCGTCCAAACTTGGACTCTAAGCCCCCGCTCCTGAGTCCCGAACTCAGTGCGATGCTTAGACCTCCACCATCCCCGCCTCCAATCAATCGGTCCGAAAAGAGCCAGAACCCACGACAAGAGAGCAACAAGCCTTCTGTAACAGAACGGATCAATTATACGAAATTAAGTAAGAAAATCATCCGCCAGAGCAGACGATTTAGCAAACTTAAGCCCGTATAACCCGGTAGTCCGTGAAATCACGAAGGATTTCAAACCAACTTCCATTCCAGCCAAGATCGTAATAAGTTTAGCGGTCACCATCACATATTACATAAAAGTTCGTAATCTCAGATACATCAGAGTTTAAACATAGTTATTACAAAACCAGTTCGAATATAAGTAGCGGAAGCCATTTGTTCAAACCACACACACACTCACGCGGAGTTCAAATATAGTGCCAAATGAATGATCATCTCCAACAAAAGCATTAGACGAGACGTAAGGAATGACCATGCCCATGGTCCTAAGCATCACCCATCGCAGGATAAAGGCGCTTGATATAATAGCCATAATACATCTCGCCCATCTCGCAACAAGTGGAATAAAACCACGAGTACGAGAAGGTACTCACTAGACTTACCCGACATAACCGAAAAAATAAATGACACCAAGGATTATGAAGGCTTTATAGTAGGGTAGTGACTCATTTGCAAAAGAAGCATTTTAGCATTTCAAGAACCTTTCTAAAAGCATTATTGTCAAGTTAATTATTATTAACCTATCGACTAGATTTGCACCTATACTAGAGTAAACATGTGATTAAGCAAATAATGATAACCACCGATCATTAAACAACTTCCATACTTTGTCATATTCACTATAACTGTCCAAGTGTTCCATAAACATTTACTACGATGAAGTAACTCAAGTCAAGTGCTCACTATCCGGAGGCGATGGCGATTCAAATCGATTCCTAACCAAATTGGTGATTTATTCCTTACACAAACCTCACTCACCCGCTAAAGTGAGATATTGATTACCGAGTCAACTTTCCGGTATCTCGAGTTTGCCAGAACCACATGTACTCGGGGCCGACCGATCGCACTTTGGTCTTATCATCCCGCCCCGTGTCCTACCACACCTTGCACCGACAAGGCGTCATGGGCAATCTACTCGGCCGAAAATCTCCCAGCTTCATGGGTCGGAAGGTACTTTATCCGCCAACTAAATGTAAGGCATGCGTTCAACATGACTCGAGGCCCAACAACGGTCGGTCCTTAATCGAC